CTGATAAGACATGAAACTGAGAAGGTGAGTGCTTCAAGCAAAACTTCAGTTCTTTAGAAGTGCCTGCATAAGGCAGTCAGTTATTTATTGAGAAGTAGCAGGAAATATGGTAACAACTTTTTGTTCCATAAAAAAGGGCTTACAGGTTATCACTGAGGGTTTTCAAGGCTTATGTTTTTACTGCGGAAGTTTTAGGGATAACCTTTTGGTAAAATCACTTAGTTTGAGGTTGTTTAATAACTGGGTTCTTCTTGAGACTTCCTGGAATAAGCTTAAAGAAAATCTGAGTATGTGTAATTTGAAATGAAATCAACAGGCTCTGTGTGTGTTTAGATACACTGATAACCAGTGACAGCTTCAAAATTGGATACAAAGTCACATTTTTAGGATAATTTGGGCTCTATAGGAGTGAGGAGTTAGCCTCGCTGTATTCCAAGAGCCAGGTGAGGATTGACAGAGAGCTCTCAGGCCTGGGGCACTGGGGCAGCTGATTCTCTGGGGTGGCTGTGTGATAGCACTAATAAAATGCAGACCTGTCCTGTAGTTTTTGGCTGAATTCATCTGCGTTGCCTCAGGAATCATATCTGAAAACATGCAGTGGCAGTTCACTGTCTCTCCCCTCCCTCTTAATCCTTAGCACTCAATTTCTGCTTTTCTTTCTCCCGGAAACTTACTCCCTGTGTTGGGTGTCCACAGCGCAGAGCATCCCCCTGTCCTTTGCCTGTAAAAGGGGTGAAGCTCATCTTCATAAACACAGCAGCGATCACTTGCCAGAGCAAAGCGTGCTCCGCTCCATTACGGAGCTCTTTGATTAATTGTGTGCTGAGTATTTCTTGATGCTGTGAGATCAGAAATACTAATGCCTGGTAGCTCAATAGTAACAGATGACAGGGTTTTTTTTGTTCCTTTGTTTTAGTGCTTTGGGGGCATTTTTGTCCACTTCCCGCACCCTGCCAAATAATACTGTGGTGGAACAACACTTTAGTTATGCAATCAACTTTAAAAAACACCCATACGTAACACTGACATTAATAGTAGTAGCACATTGCTTTTAAATGGGGTTGCGAAGCTGACCATTTTGAATTTTTTTATTCATGTGATGAATTGTGTGTAGTGAGTTTTGAATATCTGATTTAACAAGAAATCATCTTAAAATATCATTGACCTTTCTGCAGGTTTTTGGCAGCTCATTAGAAGATCTGGCAATTTGTTGTTAGTTCATTTGTGACGGTTTAGTTATGGTGGCATTTGTGCAAGAATGGTATTGAATTGCACCTTAATCTGACTTTTTACAGTGTTGATTAGTCTCCAGCTCTCTTATCTTCTCAAAATCCAGCAGGTGGTACTATTGACACAAAAATTTCCTGTATTTCCCAAATGTATAACCACACCTTCGATTTATTGTTTTGTTTTGATATTATGGGCAGTGTGGCTTTGAATAGGAATGAAGATGCTACTATCTGCTACATTTCTGGAAGGCTCAGAAAGCTTTTCACAATAACTGACAGGGACTGCTGGGGGGGGGGGAAAGGTCATTTTTAACCCTGCACTATTGTGTGTGCAGGATAATGCAGGTACAAGGGAAATTGCTTCAAGAACCTTGGCCGAGTAACTCACAGGTTGATGACTTCCACTTCCAGGGTGAAAATTAGTCTTTACATGTACTCAGTCTGCCCCATAAACGTCTTTTTCAATACCTCCGTCTTCTGAAACGCTTCATGTCGTTATGCCACTACAAAAGAGAATCTTTCGAGTACGAGGTCTAAAGGGGCACAGCAATTGTAGTGTTGATCTTTGAACATGGGAATTTATTGATAATGGAGGATCCATGTTGTTGTTATTGCACGTAAACCTAGAGAGAGAATCCATTTCTGTCTCCTAGTTTAGCAAGTTATCATGCTCATTTAATTATTTAAAAAGAAAAGTAAA